TTATATATAAGATTTAAAAAATGTAAATGAGTTACCACCGTATTATCGTGCTCGGATGTAGAAATAATACCAATCTGAAAATGATAAACTGTAATGTTAGAAAGAATCGTCTATCATCTAAGCATTTCTTTTCCACATAAAGGAAGCCTTAGAGAGATATATAACACAGATGACTTTAGCTGAGTCCAAACCAGAATCCAAGCCTCACTGGGCCTTGGGACACATTTCTTGCACAAAATCACCCAGATTTCACAAACACATTTCCATTTTTTCTGAGTCTTCGATGATAAAATCACATACCAATAGCTTTTCAGGTTTGACTTTAAAAAGTGACTGCTTAATCAAGCCAAGTTTTGGTTTGATGTTTTGAACTCCTTGAAACACTATCTGGTATTTTTTTTTCTTCTTTCTTTCCCTAGTTATCTTTACTGATTCTTTTTATTTTTAAAAGTCCAAATGCTTTGATTAAAAGTTTTGCTTCCATTTGATAAAACCTATCATCAATTACTGAACTCCCAGAATGGAAAAAAATAACAAAACAAACCCCGTGTTTTCCGGACTGGGCCATATTCCTTTTTATTAGAGCAATGTCTGTTGCCACGGAGATGAAGAAAATATATTTCTTTGTGAAAAAGACATCTGGCAGGGAGGGGTGTGTCTTGTAAAGATGGTGGCTGCTGTCATGTGTAGCTTTCCCAAGATACAAGAAAAAAATGTCTTGTTTTGGTTTCACTGTGTTTTAAACATGATTCCAGATGATGAAAGTGTCATACTTAAATCATTCTATCAGAGTTTAAACAGGGAAATGAGTCTGATTCACATTTGACACTTAACTAGTCTCCAATATAAGTGTCTCTAACTCTTTAAATTCCACTTGATTTTTAAATAGCATTTCATTTTAACATATTTTTTCATATAAGTTGGCTACAGATATAATAATTATATATTTCACAATGTACTGTACATGAAATACTTATTTTGGGAATGAAAAATCATGACAGAGGCAGGATAGGAAGTTATTTTGAAACTTTATGTGAAATACAGACACTAAAGCAAAACTTGTTTTCTTTGTGTGATGCAATATAAACATGGTATAAGGGTTCTTTAGTTGTAGGCAACAGAGTTCTTAAAGAATGGATGCTTAACTTGGATAAGGGCTTCTCCCAAACTCCATATGATGAATGTGGTGCTTAGCTAGTGTGGTGTGGTACACAGACATGTATATGTTTACATGTGTGTAAGTAGCAGATTTTCACGGGCTGACTATATTTTAATGTGTAGTCACGTGCTTACAGCATCACTTTTTGCATTTGCCTTGGAGACAGTATCATCCAAAGATGTCCCAGGACTTGGATTGCTAACTGCTAGTGTGCAGGGCGGTAGTTCGGTTTGAGTATAATTATTGGGAAAGGGCATAAAAAACCTTCTAGTGCACGACACGCAGAGACCAAGCATAGAGTCGGTAGTTCCTCTGAACTGGAATAATGGAAGAAGATGATGCAGGCAAATGCTGAGAGCTGCAGCCCTTTGGGTATGAGAGGTACTTGTTAAATTTTGATGTTTGTTAAATTTTTTCTTTTCTTCTGTTTATTCTCCATCTTTTGGGTAAGGTTAACTTGTCAAGTTTATGTTTTGCAGTGCTGATTCAAGAATGGTATTAATTGGGCCCAATAATCCATGACTTTTGTAGATAATTACTCTATTCAGCCTGTCTTATAAAATGTCTAAAGTTTTTAAAATAAAGTACAAAATAAAGTAGACAATAATTATTTTTTCTATCATTCTATCTTTTAAAAACTCATACCCTCTATAATATCCATCTATTATATTCTGCTTATAAATAAATATAATTTTCAGGTCATTTATAAATATATAAAACAGGGTTGTGATAAGTTAGAAATGATAATGGAAAGAGATTCTCTTATAGTAGACGGACTGGGAACATGAAATGATTTAGCTGAAATCAGAGAGCACTGATTCTATCACAGGGCACAATGGTAGATCTTTAATGCATTCTGTAGTTTGGAAATTTAGTGTTTTGTCATCTTGTACTTGTGATGTTTTCAGCACTTACACAGAACAAGATCATGTGAAGTTTTGGAGCTAGAGGACACCGGCTATCTAAATGAAAACATGTGGGGAGTTTTTATTTATCTGTAACTAAAACGTGAGCCAACTATTTCACTGAATTCTTTCAAATGATTTGTGGTGAGTTTGTGGGAAAGATGAGGCTATTAGCTAAATTTTATTTGTGTGTTTTTCTATATTTTGACAAGTACTTACCCAGCCAGAAAATAAACTTCAGGCATTTGAAAATAAAATGTGAAATGATTACAAAATGAGAAATGGTATGTCATAAAGACTCTAGGTTCCAGGTGATTTCAAATTTCTTCTTAAATTGTTTTGTTTATTTATTATTTTCTCCAGCCTTTCTAAGAAAGTGCCATATATTGACTTAAAGAAACATATACCTCTTTCATCATTTTTGTATAATTCCAGGTTTTAAAAGGAAAAATAATATGACAAATAAAAGACATAATTTATAAAAATTATTTGTTATTTATTTATGCTTATTTAGATAATAACTTATACAAGTACAGTATATTACCAATATCTGAATGTATTTACAAATATTCACTGACTTGACTTTTTGCTGTAAAACTCAAGCACACTTCATGTAAGTGTGACTATCCGGATCACATTTTCTGACAGCTACTTATAGTGCGGAGCGTTAGAAGTACATTTCATGTAGATAAGTGATTAGCAGTTAGCAAAAATACACCTCTGCCTTCCTGCCACACACATCCGACTTTGCACTTCTGTGCTGATTGTGCTGTGAGAACTACTCTTCTGTCTCTGGCTTCCCGAACACCTTCCATCCCTTTGGGTCCACTCTTCCAAGGGAGAGTCCCTGAATGCCCACAACTCTGATCAGCTCTCTTACTTCCAAATTGCTTTAGGGTTTTTTAAAACTCATTCCACTCATCTCCTTGGGCAGTAACAAAGTTCTTCCTTTGTTTTTTTGAGACAGGGTCTTGCTTTCCAGTACAGGATGGCCTTGAACTCCTTGAACTTGCTATGTAGCACAGGCTGGCCTCAAACTAGTGGCTATCCCCCTGCCTCAGTCTCCTGAGTGCTGGGGTTATAGGCAGGTACCACCACATCCAGCTTCTCCCTTTTTTCTTTTTTGAGGCAGGTTTTAAGTATGTAGTACAAGGTGTCCTTGAACTTGGTATATAGTGCTGGCTGGCCTTGAATTCATGATCCTCCTGTCTCAGCCTCCTGAGTGCTAGGAATGCAGGTGCCCAGAGGCCGTAGCTTCTTGTGGGCAGACTGTGTCTAGAACCCCCTTGAGTGCCTTGGGTATCAATTCTATTGCCTTTCACACCACAAATGTCTATTATCTGCTTGTTAGTGATATATATACACCTACCATGTTTATAGAAGCGTGATTCATAATAGCTAAGTCTTGGAAGTGGCTTATATGTCCATCAATATGTGAATGGATGGATAAAGAACATGTAGTATTTATAGGCAATGAAGTACTTCTGTGCCATAACTAAGGATAAACTTGAGACATTTGTGAGAAAACGGATGCACCAAGAGACCGTAGTGTTAAGTAAGATAAATCAGACGCACAGGCTTAAATATTGCATGATTTCTCTTGTATGAAAAACTCAACATGTGAATTAAAAGATGGCTAAAAGGAAGTAGGGAGATAGATCTTTTGGAAAATGGAAGTGTACAAGAGATGGAGGTAGAGCCAGTGGTAGAAAGAGGAAGGGGGCGAACCAAGGGCTGAAAAGTATTACATGTGTGTACTAACTCCCCACGAGGGGCTAGAAACGTGCTAATAAAAAATAAAAACTGAAAAAAATACAGTTGAATGCTTGGACGTTGCAAATTATTTTTCTCATTTGGAATATGCTTTCTGGATTTTTAGCATTGCTTGCCAATCCCACCAGTAAATAAATACTGTATGCATTCTACTTTGGGACCCGAAATACAAAGGTAAAAAAGAAAGGCAGTATTGCTGTTCTCTTTCTACCTGAGAGGAGAGAGATAGTTTTGATATCATTGTCAACTGATTTAATAAGTGAAAATTTTAGACAAAAGCACATACCATGACAAAGCAAATTGGACAGTGTAGTAGGAAGTGGCTTTGCTAGGGCAGTTGGGTCAGGTTTCCTGGGGAAGGGACATTTCAGAGATGAGAAGTGAATAATGAGGAGGAGACAGGCTTGGCAGGTCTGTGGGACATTATTCCCAGCAAAAGGAGCAGCAGAGGCCAAGACTAGGTGACAATGAATGTGGGGTGCTGTAGGGATGAGTGGGAAGGGACAGTATAGTTGTAGCCTGGTGAATGGGACCCGGAAAGGAGATGGAGAAGTTCAGAGGTTGACAAGGGTTAGATCAGGGTGCTGGAAACAATGGGAATGGAACCACTTGTGGTGGGTCTTACCAGAGGAACCTGACGCATGACCTAATGAGTTTTCAGTGTTGTTTATTGGAGGGCCTGACTATAATAATCTATCATCAAGTTATAATGAGTTAGATAATTGTTTTGACTTGATATCTAGAAAAAGTACATAATTCTATATTGAAAACAAGAATGTTATGAACATAAGTGCCACTTTTAATAATATGTTGATAGGGTTCAAATTGCTGTAAGTAAAATAATGTCTTTACCATAATACCATAAAAGTCAAACATGTTTCCAGTAATGTACAGCTTTTTAGTGTCTTTCGTGGTTTTTGATGTTGGTGGGGAGAAGTGAACGTAGACTATTTCCTGTGAAGGGCTATTTGTGGAATTCAATTTAGAGTCATTGGAGTGACCAGGATTCTCACAGTATATGTCAAGTACACATGTGTATGTTTGTATCACTAGTGAGGCTTAGTGAATATTATCGAAAATGGGAAAAACAGAATATACCTAGTTTTCTATAGATTGCTGTAAACATACTTAGATTCATCTTGTTTTTAATTTCACGCTGCAAGGCCCGTCATTGCCTGTCATTCGCCTTGCTGGTGGCAGCAGCATGCATGAAGGTCGAGTGGAGCTCTACCACGCTGGCCAGTGGGGGACCATCTGCGATGACCAGTGGGATGACGCGGACGCAGAAGTGATCTGCAGGCAGCTGGGCCTCAGGTTTGTTTTTGTTGCTTTTGTTTTGCTTTGTTTGAATTTTGAATCTATTATTTCCATATCCAAAGGCAGGTGCTGTTTGTTTAAACTGCACAGTTCCGTGAAGGAAGAGAAAAAGGTAACTTTGATCTTTGTGCTAACATGTAGGCTCCCCGAAGAGCGTTTGTACGGTGTAGGTCTAACCTGCTTGCTTCTGAACTGGAATGATGTTATGTCCCCTAAGGTCTAAGATTTTCCTACTTTTCACTAGTAACCTTCATTTTATACCCAGCTGATGGCCAGCACTGCCAACTACAGTGACTCAAAGTCATTTCATGAAACACTAATTATTAGTTTGTAACTGATGTTTAACTCCTGTCTCCCAAATATTGTCTAAACTCCTGGACAATTTGCTTCCTTCTTTGTTAGGTAAATGTTTAGACCAAAGAAGGTTTATTAACATAGGAATAAAGTAATTCCTGTGTAGGGAATGGAAATGAAGCCTGTGTGATTAAGACAGCATGGAATTCAACATTCCATGTTGTCTCAGCTGTGATTGTTAGAAATGTTATGTTAGTTTCAAATCTTATAATTCTTCTGTGATGCTGAATGTTAGTATAGTAAACCTAAAAGTGTATCTAAAATTATACTAGGGGATCTTTTTAAAGTTAATGTTTGGTTTTAAATTTTTAAAAATATTCCATTTAGGACTTTTTTCAAAATCAAAGAAGAGAGGAATAAGAAGATCTGAAATGATCATATTTGCTCAGGGATCATTGCAGTGAGATATCATGGAGTCTTGGTTTTCATGCCGCCATCTTTGTTTCTTAACATTGGCACATGAGTTTTCATCCTTGAATCGTTTGTACTTGGTTTTCTTATAATTATATTTATAATTATCTCCTCTTTTTTAGGCATGTGTTTAGATTAATACATTTTAAAGTAAAATACAGGTATTTTGACATTTTATTTCTAAATTCTTAAGTGTACATATCTTAAAAATAAGAACATGTCCTGCATAGTCAAATTATCATAACAAAACTGGTAATTCTCCTTAATTTCATCTAATTCCCCATCGCATTCAAATAGTCACAGTTATTCCCACAATGCTCTTGACAGATGATTTGTCTGAAGCAGAATTTGTCCAGGACCATGCATTATATCTGGATGTTATATGTCCCTTAAGTGTCTGTCTGTCTTTCTTTCTTTCTTTCTTTCTTTCTTTCTTTCTTTCTTTCTTTCTTTCCTTCTTTCTTTCCTCTCTCATTGTGCAGTTCACGCTGGCCTTAACCTCATGTTGTAGTCTAGGCTGGCCTTGAATTCACAGTGATTTTTCTGCCTCACCCTCTTGAGTGCTGGAATTACAGGTGTGTGCCACCAGGCCTGGCCCCTTAAGAGTCTTTTAATCTGGAACAGCCTATTTTATTTTGCTTTATTATATTTTTCATGACACTGACATTTTGGAGATCAGGCCAGTTGTTCTGGAGACCGTCCTGTCTTTTGTCATTTCTTTCTTCTGATACTGAGTTTACGTCTATAGTTCTCATAATTCCCAAAATTGGAAGTTAGGTCCAAAAGCTTAATGCTTTGGCTAGAAATCATCACAGATGGTGTGTATTCATCTTTCCAGAATCATAGGATGGCTCTTTTTCTCCATGGTCAGACAAAAACTGAATATAGCTAAAGTCGGTATCAGCTAGATCCTCACTGTGAAGTAACACTTTTCCTGTGTAACCAATTGTGAGACCTAAGTGTTATTTTTTTAATGTCATTCATGAAATAGGAGCAAGCATGGCAAAAGTTTTATCAGAAGGTTTTACTATAATTACTGGTAGTATTGTTTTCTGGTATGATTATCTTCTTTGGATGGGTTCCTCCAATCAGTTCCTCTTGAGAAACTATAATTACTTGTTTAGTTTTTGAGACTAAGTTTTGCCAATTCTGACTAGGTATCTATTTCAAAATAAGTTGTGTTACAATTTCCAGGTGTTGAAGTCAGAGTAGCTAAGATTATGAGCATGTACTGGACTCAGGAAAACTTGGATTTGGATATGACTTCTAGAATTAAGAAAAGTTATAGAACATCTCTTAATAACAATTTTCTCACAAATGGGATATTTACTAACTTATAGTGTCTAGTAACTAGAAAGTAGATAGCACATATAGTAAGTACACAATATACACTGGCTGTCCAGTTAGACTAGGGACTTATATGTTTACAAGATGTCATTAAATAATCAAAAAAAATACTGGTGGGGAGATCATCAGACACCATTCCTCTGTCCAGAACTTCTATTTACTTAGCTGTATCTATGAATTTTATATTTTGAATGAATATATATCTGTATTCATAGAATTACCAATTGTATATGTTCAGTGGTATGCTGATTAATTTATGTTAGTTACTAAGATACCTATGAGTTTGCTAAAAATATTGAGATAATAGCTTATTAATATTACCAGATACAGTAAGGATTATTTGTCATTCTAAATTTAAACTGTAAAGTTTTTTTCTCCTTTTCCCTTTGATGGTATTGGGGATTGAACCAAGGGCCTTCATATTGAGCTACATGCCCAGCTCCCTGTGTGATTTTCATTTTTAAACTGAATCTTGCTAAATTGTTAAGTTGCCCTGTCTGTGTTCAGACTTGTGCTCATCCTGCCTCAGCCTTTCCAAGTTCTGGGATTATAGATGTGTCACTGCCTAATTTTTTTTTTTTTTATTACTTGTATGTTTCTTTGCAAAGGCAAATTTGTGTTGCTTAGAAAATTGCCTATCAAATTTATATAACACACCAAATACTAATTACATTTGCAGTTTAGCTTAGTGATCCTAAAAATTCATGCTGTTATGTAGAGTTCTTTCATGAAATACACAAGTTATTTTCACTATAGCTATTTTTAAAATAAAGATATCTTGCAACAATAGTCTATGACACATAGAAAAGACAGAGATAGACTCACAAGAAAATCATTAAGGCTGAACCAACACCTGGGTTAAGTGTTAACTTCTCTTTCAAGCCTTAGGTCATTGCTGGCTTTATCAAAAAAGATTCATGTTTGGAAAAATGATTAAAAGAAACATATCTCCAGTAAGCAAGTAGGGTAATCAACTTCTGATTACTGTGACAAAACTTAGGATAATAAACTTACAGAGGACAGGCTGATTTGGGCCACAGTTGTGACCGTGGGGTCAGTTGACCTCTTTGCTTTCAAGCCCCTGGTGAAGCAGGATGCTGCAGGCCAAAGAGCAAGATGCTCACCTCATAGCCGGAAGGTGAAGACGGGGAGGAAGGGGAGGTGGGGTCCCCTTGCAGCTATACCCGCAGTGACCTATGGCCTCCCCCTGGAACGCACCTCTTAATGCTTCTGTGCCTCCTTACAGCGCCACAGGCTGGAGGCCAGGGTTTTTAACACGGGAGTTGTTGAGGGCTACTTAACCAGCAAGGCTGCAAAAACCTCCCACAAGCTGTGGTAACAACTAAAAATCCAGCTTCCCAGAGGAAAGGATTCATTAAAGGCACTCTAGTACATGAGCTGACACTCCATTTATCTTTTGTTCTCTTGATTTTATATTTTCTCGTAAATTTGCATTAAGGTGATACTCTAGGACTCCTCTCTGTCTGTAATTTGTTTTGCTCCTTTAAAGGCTAAGTACTTTTAGATGAAACAGTTTCTTAATGGCACGTGGTTGGTAGCAGATGGCGTAATTGTTCCTCTCGATTTATGATTTGTTCTTAAGGAAATTTCTTCTCAGTCTTATTTGCTTTATTGAATTCCCAGAAGGGAACTAGGTCATGCTTCCCTGGAGAGGTGATTAAAATTTCTTTGTGAGATGCTCTCTTTGTTGACCCTTTTATCTTTCAGTGATGTCTGCATATTTTGATAGCTGGCAAGCTTTCTAAATACAAAAGGAATTATGGGGCTTAAGATACGTAAATCTGATTTACCTACAACTTGGAAAGAAGAGGAGAGGGAAAGAAAGAAGTCAGATATTAGAAAGTTAGATAACCTGGGGGCTGGGGATTTAGCTCAGTGGCATAAGTACCTGCCGTGCAAGCAGGAGATCCTGAGTTCAATCCCCGGTACCGATGAAAATGAAAAAGACCGAGAAAAATTAAAAAAAAGAAAATTAGGTAACCTGAGAATGTGTGTCCCCAGTTCCCAGTTGTTTCTTGGGGACACTTTTTAGAGTTCCTTTATGTGTGCTTAACTTTAAAAAATATGTCCCCTGTCATTCAAAACTGAATAAAGTATAGCTCAAAACTGTGACAGCATATGTGATTTTGTTGATAAGCCATCGCCTGCACAGAATCTTAAGATTCTGGACACTTCTTTTCCCCTTAGTTTTTCCCCCTTTTGCTATACAATTATTATACAGAACCATATTGAGTAGCCAGAATACAAATTCTTCTGGTATAAATTGCTTCAAAATTGGTTTAGTACTTTTTATTTTACCATTCATTAACATTTTTAAATGTTTTTTACAATGAAGGCTCGTACATAGAATTATTGATCAGGAAAGAAATCCTCTAACAGATAGGGAAGTTATCCCACTGAGATTGTGCGGCGTCCCTGAAGACAAAGATTAGTGGGAAGCAGACTCTTGAGATTTATGAATCCCTTAATTTAGGACTTCTTTCTTTCATGCTACAGTGCTTGTAAAGTGACCATGTGTTAATAAAGGCAGATACAAAAATAGGGCTGAAAGAAACCGAGAGGTCAAAAGAGAAAGTTACTTTTAAAAGAAAATGAAAATGAACATGTTTTAGGTAGGCAGTGTTTGATGTGCCATGCCCTCTGACTGTAAATGTCCCAGGAGGCTGTATTTCAAGTTGGCTTTTGTAGTCAGACTTGACATCTAGTAGTGGTACGTCTAATGTTAGGCAGATTATTTAATTTCTGAGCCTCAGTTTTCTTATCTGTAATTTGGGGATAATAACAGTGGGGTTATAGGAAGGATTACATGAGTTAATAGATAAAGAGCTCTTAGAACAGTGCCTGGGGTACAGTAAGCATTTGGT